TGGATCAGTTTGAATACATCAGAATACTTGAAGAGGTCATGCTGCCTTATGCTGAAGAGGAAATGCCCTTGAAATGGGTGTTCCAACAAGACAACGACCCCAAACACACCAGTAAACGTGCAACATCTTGGTTTCAGACCAACAAGATTGACATTATGGAGTGGCCAGCCCAATCCCCGGATCTTAATCCAATAGAAAACTTGTGGGGTGACATCAAAAATGCAAAACCAAGAAATAGAGAAGAACTGTGGAATGTAGTCCAATCATCCTGGGCTGGAATACCCGTTCACAGGTACCAGAAGTTGGTTGACTCCATGCAACACAGATGTACAGCAGTTCTCAGAAACAGTGCTTATACAACTAAATATTAATTAAGTGATTCAAAGGAAAGCAAAATCTTCAAACATTTTTCAGTTTATATAGTGAATGTTTGAATTTGTAAAGAAGAATACAAACTGCAATTTTTTTGAACAGTCTAATATTCCCTTTTCTTCAATTTTTTTAGAGGAACAACACAAATTTGATATATTTTTCTTCATGTTTTGATTTGGAATAGAATGTGTAGTGTTCCCAATGTTTGTGTGTATGGAAATAAAAGCTATTAGAAGGATTTTGAGCTTTATTCACTTTTTTCAACACACTGCTATTATTTTGAACACAACTGTAGCTGCTGCTAAGTCTCAGACAGATCATGATTTCTACTGTGCAGGTGTGGACCCGTTCCCACTCTGCTTTAGCAATCTACTCTTCAGTTTGATGCACAGGGAAAGCTATATGTTAACTACAGAAAGATTGTATGTGTAGGGCAGCACTGTGACTAATTAGTTACCATTTCCACCTTGTAGCCTTTAGTCGTTGGTTCGAATCCTAACCATGTCAATACCTACATGGAGTTTGTATGTTCTCCCTGTGCCTGTGGGGTTTCCTCAAGGCACTCTGGTTTCTTCCCACACTCCAAAGACATGCTGGTAGGTTAAATGGCTCCTGTCTAAATTGTCCGTAGTATGTGTATGTATATATGTGAGTTAGGGATCTTAGATTGTACACTCCTTGACGGTTAGGGATTGATGTGAATGTACAATATATATGTAAAATGCTGCATAAGTTGATGGCATTATATAAGTACTTGTAATAAATAAAATATGTGGAAAATATGTAGCTACACAGACCTAAGGTTTTTAATTCTTCTAAATGTGTAGATTGTTATACATTCTTTTACATTTTATGACTGCTAAAAATGCAGGGGCTCCAAAAGTACAGAACAATTTTATATGGTCAATTTAGTTAAACGTTTTACTTGGTAGAGTTCTTCTTTAGAGACCTTTTACTAAGTCAATGGGCTTTGACAGCATTCCAGAATCCTCAACAAAATCCCTATTGATTAGCTGCAGTCTTCTGACAGTAAATATACATTATGGCTGCTTGTGCTCTGTAAAGTGGTCCATTTTATCTTGCAGTATCTAGCCTGTATATTTACAAACCTTTGCTTCACTTATTGATTACTTTGTTCTTGAATCAGATTTATTTGTAGTGCAAACTCAGTACTACAGGTTTATGTTTAAAATTTACCTGAATATATTCCTAAAAATAAATACACATGACATACTTTAGTTAATGAACAGTATCTAGGTAGTGATGAGTGTTTGGAATACCATTTCTGCAGTAAAGAACATTTAGAGGTGAAATTATTTCAGTCATAATGCTGACAAGTCCTAGTCTGTTCTTTTATAAGCTGTAAATGACTTAATCTCAGCTTAAACCCTGGACTGACTTGCCACCAGGATCAGTTCATGTAGTACAATGTCACCGTTGAATACAATAGAGTGTCGTTATCGATATCGTAGTCTGCAGCAGCAATTTTTCAATTTAATTTACCTTAATTTATAAACTTTTTTGATAACATTTAGAAACTATGTAGCCCCAGGCAGTTGAAGAATCTATGAATGTCAGTATGGGTATATGTGTGTACAGTGTGTGTGTGTTTGTGTATGTATGTGTGTATATATATATATATGTGTGTGTGTGTGTATCTCATATTACTCTATATTGCCAAAAGTATTGGGACGCCTGCCTTTACACGCACGTAAACTTTAATCCAATCCCACTCTTAGTCCGTAGGGTTCAATATTGAAGTGACCCACCCTTGGCAGCTATAACAGCTTCAACTCTTCTGCCATAACTGACAGAAGAATTGTCCGGGATTCAAAGAAAAACCCATAGGTAACCACAAGATAAATACAGGCTGCTCTGGAAAAAGATCGTGTGGTTGTTTTGAAGAAGCACAATATGATGACACTTGAACAAAAATGAGCTGCATGGTCGAGATGCCAGAAAGAGGCCTTTACTGCATCAATGACACAAGAAGGCCTGGTTAGGCATGTCAAGGTGTTGTCAGGCATGTTGTAACCGGGTTTTTTTGTGTGGCATTGGTGCAGTAAAAGCACCTCGACCAAACAGCTCATTTGTTTTCAAGTATTACCGTATTGTACTCCTTTAAAATAACCACACCATCTTCTTCCAGAGCAGACTGTATATCTTTTGAGGTTGCCTGTGGGTTTTTCTTTGAGTCCCAGACAATTCTTCTGTCCCTGCTGCAATCTTTCTTGGTCTACCTGACCTTAGCTTTGTATCAAGAGATCCCCAAACTTTCCACTTCTTAATAGGTGATTTAACAGTACTGATTGGCATATTCAAGGCTTTGGACATCTTTTTATGTCCTTTTCCATCTTTATAAAGTTCCATTGTCTTGTTGCGCAGGACGTTTGACAGTTCTTTTCTGATCCCCATGGCTCAGTATCTAGCCTAATCAGTGCTTCCGCATAAGAGCTAACAAACTCACTGAATATTTACACACTGACACTAATTGCAATTTAAAAAGCCACAGATGTGGGACATTAACCTCTAATTGGCATTGTAGCCCATGTGTGTCATCTTGTGTGTCTGTACCAAGGCCAAACATTCCAGGGTATGTAAACTTTTGATCAGGGCCATTTGGGTGACTTCTGTTATCATTATGATTTAAAAAGGAGCCAAACAACTATTTGATAAGAAATGGCTTCATATGATCATCATCCTTCAATAAAAGAGCATTTTTTGGCATGATCAGACATATTTTCAATATCAATGCCAAAATTTCACAATTTCTGCCAGGGTATGTACATTGTTGAGCACAACTGTGTGTGTGTGTGTGTGTATATGTATGTATGTATGTGTGTGTGTATATATATATATATATATATATATATATATATTTACACACAACTTTTTTTTTTTTTTTTTTTTTTTTTTTACACAAACTTGGATCTGTGGCAACTGGACCCTGGATGCACCCTAAATATACAGGTGAAACTCAAAAAATTAGAATATCGTGCAAAAGTTCATTTATTTCAGTAATTCAACTTAAAAGGTGAAACTAATATATGAGATAGACTCATTACATGCAAAGCAAGATAGTTCAAGCCATGATTTGTCATAATTGTGATGATTATGGCTTACAGCTCATGAAAACCCCAAATCCACAATCTCAGAAAATTAGAATATTGTGAAAATATTCTCAGCTCAAAGTGTCCCTCTCTAATCAGCTAATTAAGCCATAACACCTGCAAAGGGTTCCTGAGCCTTTAAATGGTCTCTCAGTCTGGTTCAGTAGGAATCACAATCATGGGAAAGACTGCTGACCTGACAGTTGTGCAGAAAACCATCATTGACACCCTCCATAAGGAGGGAAAGCCTCAAAAAGTAATTGCAAAAGAAGTTGGATGTTCCCAAAGTGCTGTATCAAAGCACGCTAATATAAAGTTGTGTGGAAGAAAAAGGTGCACAAGCAGCAGGGTTGACCGCAGCCTGGAGAGGATTGTCAGGAAAAGGTCATTCAAAAGTGTTGGACTTTCACAAGGAGTGGACTGAGGCTGGAGTCAGTGCATCAACAGCCACCACACACAGACGGATCCTGGACATGGATTTCAAATGTCGTATTCCTCTTGTCAAGCCCTCCTGAACAACAAACAACGTCAGAAGTGTCTTACCTGGGCTAAAGAAAAACAGACCTGGCTTGTTGCTCAGTGATCCAAAGTCCTCTTTTCTGATGAGAGCAAATTTTGCATCTCATTTGGAAACCAAGGACCCAGAGTATGGAGGAAGAATGGAGAGGCACACACTGCAAGATGCTTGAAGTCCAGTGTGAAGTTTCCACAGTCTGTGTTGATTTGGGGAGCCATGTCATCTGCTGGTGTTGGTCCACTGTGCTTCATTAAGTTCAGGGTCAACGCAGCCGTCTACCAGGAGATTTTGGAGCACTTCATGCTTCCTTCCGCAGACTAGCTTTATGGGGATGCTGACTTCATTTTCCAGCAGGACTTGGCACCTGCCCACACTGCCAAAAGCACCAAAACCTGGTTCAATGACCGTGGGATTACTGTGCTTGATTGGCCAGCAAACCCGCCTGACCTGAACCCCATAGAGAATCTATGGGGCATTGCCAAGAGAAAGATGAGAGACATGAGACCGAACAATGCAGAAGAGCTGAAGGCCGCTATTGAAGCATCCTGGTCTTCCATAACACCTCAGCAGTGCCACAGGCTGATAGCTTCCATGTTACGCCGCATCGAGGCAGTAATTGCTGCAAAAGGGGCCCAAACCAAGTACTGAGTATATATGCATGCTTATACTTTTCAGAGTTCCGATATTGTTCTATGTACAATCCTTGTTTTGATTGCATGTAATATTCTAATTTTCTGAGATTGTGGATTTGGGGTTTTCATGAGCTGTAAGCCATAATCATCACAAATATGACAAATCACGGCTTGAACCATCTTGCTTTGCTTGTAATGAGTCTATCTCATACATTAGTTTCACCTTTTAAGTTGCATTACTGAAATAAATGAACTTTTGCACGATATTCTAATCTTTCAAATTTCACCTGTAGTATGGAGCATTTGGAGTGTACAGTGTGTGCGCGTAAAAAAAACAATTCTCATTTTATTTCTGTTCTTGTCTTTCAGGGGACACCATTTTTATCATCCTTCGGAAACAGAAGCTCATCTTCCTTCACTGGTACCACCATATAACAGTGTTGCTCTATTCATGGTATTCATACAAGGACATGGTGGCTGGTGGCGGATGGTTTATGACCATGAACTATGGAGTACACGCAGTTATGTATTCTTACTATGCCTTGCGAGCCGCTGGCTTTAGAGTGTCACGAAAGTTTGCCATGATGATCACTTTATCCCAAATCACTCAGATGCTCATTGGGTGCGTGGTGAATTACCTGGTCTTTGCTTGGATGCAACAAGGACAGTGTCCATCCCACGTACATAATATTGTGTGGTCCTCCATCATGTACCTCAGCTACTTTGTGCTCTTCTGCCGCTTCTTCTTTGAAGCCTATATGACCAAAACAAGGAAAGCTGCCAAGGCCGACTAATGGTGAAACCGAATGCCAAGTCATAGCTCAGGGTCATCAAATATTAAGAGAAGATGATTACAAACAAAACAGAATTGGGAGTGAGCAAATATTTTAAAGGCACAAAGAAAACCATATCTCAAGCACTTAGATCCTAGAGACAAATAAAGCGAATTTGTAATAGTTTATTTAATTCTTGTCTTAAAACGTGAAGCTGATCAGCGCGCAAGCACTCCAAGAATGTCGAAGGAACGGAAACTGGTCTGTAACATCAGCCCACTTTAACAAGTCCTTTGGAAGAAAGGCTATTGCTATGTTTTTCAGTAAAAACTCTGGTGTTTTACTACTGCCCATAATCTGTTACCGATCTATTTCAAGAATGAGACAAGGTATACACAGGAATATAAATGTATTCTTCTGGCTAAGGTGTATAATGTTTTGTGTTCTGAGTTAGAAAAGGTATAAAGTGGATTTTACCACCTAGGATGCTTTGTAATGTGTACAGGTGTGGTTCCTATCAATATGCAAATTAAACCATCTGCCCAAGCTGGCTACTACAGTATTAAATCTAGACTGAAATAATTTTACATATCTTATATCTGGTGTGTTTCACAGTGGACTTGTGCACCTGGACAACACAAGTATCAAAGCTTCATCACTTACTGAACTACCTTCTAGAAGGGATGAAAAGAGAAGAAGGTTGAAACTGTTATCCGAATGTTTTACTCAGAGCCCATGACAAAAGCCCGATTCCTAGAACGCCGAATAGCTCTTGTTTTCTATTTTTGTGAACGGTTTCCTTATCTGACTACTACCGCAGGGCTGTGTGCGTGAGTTCGGTAACACTGTGCTTTATGTATTTGCTAATGAAGCAGTACAGAGTTGATTAAAGTGCCCTCTTCTGGTCCACACAGAAAATACAACACACCAGATCTTTACGATTTTCTTTTTCATTAAAACTGAGAGGAGAATACCAATTCCTGTAACAATCTCCCATATTCCAAGGGACTTGTCTTACTTCACACTCTTGTATTTTTCTATGTCTTGTGTGCATTGAAGACAGGTTAAAAAATGCCAAGGGTACTTAATGTACCTGGGTCTGAAATCAAACTCATGTTGTTTCAAGCCATATTCTTCAGAAACTCATAGAGTGTTTTGTCTGTTATAACCAAGTCTGGAGAAGCCAAATACATGTACAATTTCCTAGTATTTCAAGGAAGCACTTATTGTAACTTGATGTTAAATGTTTTAATGTAGTCTTCTTAATTGTATTAGTTAGCTAGATTAATATATTAGCAGATTAGAGAAGAAGGGTTAGAGGCTGCTGTCATGCGTCAGAGTACAGTTAAGACTTACTGTAAATGCAACCCTGTAGGAACTTGCAGTCATCATTGTACAACCCTGTGGTATATAGGAGCACATTTCCTAGCTACTTAAAAAAAAAAAAAACAATTGTTTCTTTCATTTATGAAAGAATTACAACACAAGGGATTTTTCTTTTTTTTTTTTTAGCTTTAAATGGTGCTGCCATCCATGCTGCTTCTTTTTTGAAATTTAGTTTCATGATCTAGAAATGGCAGAGGCTACTTAGCATCTCAGTTACCAGAAATAAATAAAAAAGGACATGTAATGTTATGATGCATTTAGTCTGAATTATCAGGATGAAATGAGAAGATCTTGCAATTCACTATTGTAACAAACAATAAAGTTTACATTTATGTTAAAGTACTGGATGTATTCATTGCTGATGGCTGTAGCATTAAAAGGATGTTTCTCAGTTACTGCACAGGTGGTGCTGCTTTTTTTTTTTTTCTTTTAAATTGCCGATGCAATCACAGTGCCCCAATAGGCAAGGAAAACTATGCAGCTTTTAAAAATGTTTATTAATTTAATTGCCATACCTATTGCCATTGTGTACATCCTGCAGCCTGGTCAAATACCTCCTATAAATAGCTTTGCACCATCTAGTCCCAATGCCTCAACATTTGAACATTAAAGTGCTACTAAACCCACAACAGTAAAATCAGTCTGTATATGCAGTAAAGCATGCTTGTTTTTTTTACTGTGGATATGCTTTATCTCCCTTTTATCTTACGGCAGTGGATGAGCTCATAGTGAGGGGCAGGCATGGGTATTCTTGCCAAAAGTACCCTTCCTGCATAAGTGCATAATCTAACCACCTCATCTTCTTATCAATTGTCATGTCTTCTCTGCTCTGCCCCTACAGGTAACCATCTTTCAATAACACTTCCAACATTTGTTTGCTGTGTATAAATGAAACTAGATCTTCCTTGTTGTTGTAAATGGTAAAATTCTTTCAATAGCATCTCCAACCTATGTTTGCTGTGTTTGAATGAAACTACCCCTGCTTTCGTATTGGCTGTGGTAACCTTCTTTCAATAATACCTCCAACAATTGTTTGCTACATATGCTTTGCTATTGTTTATTGTAAATGCAGCAATACTTAAAAGGGAACTTTAGTCAGAAAATTAGGTCTTGCTAGATCTCTTTAGGCTGGTCCCTTTTTGCAGGTATAATTACAGTGCCTTGAAAAAGTATTCATACCCCTTGAAATGTTCCACATTTTTTCATGTTACAACCAAAAACGTAAATATATTTTATTTGGATTTTATGTGATAGACCAACACAAAGTGGCACATAATTGTGACATGGAAGGAAAATGATAAATGGTTTTCACATTTTTTTTACAAATATCTGAAAAGTGTGGCGTGCATTGTATTCAGTCCCCTTTACTCTGCTACCCCTAATTAAAATCTAGTGGAAACAATTGCCTTCAGAAGTTACTTAATTAGTAAATAGAGTCCACCTGTGTGTTGTTTAATCTCAGTATAAATACAGATGTTCTGTGAAGCCCTCAGAGGTTTGTTAAAGAACATTAGTGAACAAACCGCATCATGAAGGCCAAGGAACAGACCAGACAGGTCAGGGATAAAGTGGAGAAGTTTAAAGCAGGGTTAGGTTATATAAAAAATATTCCAAGCTTTAAACATCTCACAGAGCACTGTTCAATCCATCATCTGAAAATGGAAAGATTCGGACACAACTGCAATCCTACCAAGACATGGCCATCCACCTAAACTGACTGGTCGGGCAAGGAGAGCATTCATCAGAGAAGCAGCCCTCTTGGCTGCTTCTCTGATGAATGCTCTAGTGCCCGAGCTGAGCTGCAGAGATCCACAGCTCAGGTGGGAGAATCTGTCCACAGGACAACTATTGGTCATGCACTCCACAGATCTGGCCTTTATGGAAGAGTGGCAAGAAAAAAAAGCCATTGTTGGAAAAAAAGCCATAAGAAGTCCCGTATTGCAGTTTGTGAGAAGCCATGTGGGGGACACAGCAAACGTGGAAAAAGGTGCTCTGGTCAGATGAGACCAAAATTGAACTTTTTGGCCTGACAGCAAAATGCTATGTGTGGTGTAAAACTAACACTGAACACATCATCCCCACCATGAAACGTGGTGGCAGCATTGTGTTGTGGGGATGCTTTTCTTCAGCAGGGACAGAGAAGCTGGTCAGAGTTGAAGAGAAGATGGATGGAACCAAATATAGGGCAATCTTAGAAGAAAGCCTGTTAGAGTCTGCAAAAGACTTGAGACTGGGGCGGAGGTTCACCTTCCAGCAGGACAACGGCCCTAAACATAGAGCCAGAGCTACAATGGAATGGTTAAGATCAAAGCATATTCATGTGTTAGAATGGTCCAGTCAAAGTCCAGATATAAATCCAATTGAGAATCTGTGGCAAGACTTGAAAATTGCTGTTCATAGATGCTCTCCATCCAATCTGACAGAAATGGAGCTATTTTGCAAAGAAGAATGGGCAAAATGTCAGTCTCTAGATGTGCAAAGCTGGTAGAGACATACTCAAAAAGACTTGCAGCTGTAATTGCAGCGAAAGGTGGTTCTACAAAGTATTGACTCGGGGGGGCTGAATACAAATGCACGCCACACTTTTCAGATATTTATTTGTTAAAAAAATGTTAAAAACCATTTATCATTTTCCTTTCACTTCACAATTATGTGCCACTTTGTGTTGGTCTATCACATAAAATCCCAATAAAATACATTGACGTTTTTGGTTGTAACATGACAAAATGTGGAAAATTTCAAGGGGTATGAATACTTTTTCAAGACACTGTATGTAAAATGTCAAAAATAAGCGTCTATACTGTTTGTAATCCAGTAATACGCTGTCTCACGCTGCTCTGCATATGCTTAATTGCTCTCTGTTTTAAGGCACTGCCGAATTTGTAGAGGCCAATCTGCTGGCAGTCTTAAAGTAGAATTAAACCCTCCTATCCTTTACAGCCAAGGAAGCTGCTTCTGTTTGATTTGTAACTGCCATGGTGTTGCACATATGATCAGTCATGTCTCCGGCCATTTGATGGTTTGACAGTTTGGCTGAGGATACAAGCAAATGTGACAGTTAGGAATCCCAACATTCCAGTTTTTTTAAAAACAGTTATATTGATTTGGTTTAGTTCCGCTTTATGATTTATTTCTGCTCAGGGGCACTGGGCTTCATCAAAATGGCATTCTCCAACAAGAACAGAACAAAAAAAACAGGAGCAATGCTAGAGGCAATTTACAGCACACACTAATTTTGTTGGCATAATTATTAATGTGTAATGGCTGTTCCTTTCTAAGAACATTTTTTTATCAAATTTTTAATGAGTAAAGTTTTCGCTTTAAGTTGGCCATATATGGATCGAAATTTGGTCGGTTCAGCAGGGACCTGCTGGATTACGATCCATGTAGTGGCTAGCTGGTTGTACAACTAGCCTGTCAGCATCACTCATTATTGTATGCTGCCAGTGGGGACTTTTTCTTCTGTTCAACCCGCTGCTTGAACAAAAAATGAATCATGCATGGCTTGCCCTATGCATCTTGAGACAGGCCTACCAAGCCAAACACTTTAGTGGTGCACTGCAATTTTGTTTTTGGTAGTATACACTATGCATATATTTTGTGATTTAAATAAGTACCCAGAATTCCCCTTTAAT